TGTCAAATCCCACGTGGCGTAAAACACATGCACCACCCTCAGCAACATCAACAGCAGCAGCAGCAGCACATACATCATCATCATCATCAGTCCCACATGACAGAATCTCCCTATAACAATAATAATAATAGTAGTAATAATAATAATAATACGAGGGATAATATGCAAATGTCGGATACAGTACCGATATCGCCAGTTGCACCGGAGCCCACAAAAACACGTCGAGCAAAACGTGCGAAGGAAGCAAAACCAGCTGCTACAGCAGCACCAAGAAAGGCATCGAAGAATTCGAAAAGGGTAAAACGGGAAGAAGACAACAACCTCAACGACCTTAACAACCTTAACAAGGCAGTGTTTGGAAAGTCCCACGATATGGAGCTTGGTGGGCCCAAGCTGGACTGGAAGGATCAAGATTTGGGGTTGAACCAGGTGGCGTTCGACGAGTCGACTATGCCTGTGCCTGTTTGCTCTTGCACGGGGTTTTTGAGGCCGTGCTATAAGTGGGGTAACGGAGGGTGGCAATCTTCTTGCTGTACGACTAATTTATCAATGTATCCACTGCCAGCTGTACCGAATAAACGGCACGCGAGAGTCGGTGGGAGGAAGATGAGCGGTAGTGCGTTTAATAAGCTGATAAGCCGACTTGCTGCCGAGGGTCATGATTTGTCGAACCCTGTTGATCTTAAGGACCATTGGGCGAAGCACGGTACAAATCGCTACATCACTATCAAATAGAAAAAAGAAAAAAAAGAATACATCATTTGATGCTGTTTGGGTTACTTTGCTGAGGTAATTATTGGAAGTTGGTATGAATGTATAAGCTTCAGTTTGGTAATCATGCAAAAAAAGTATGATGCGTTCTTCCATTGACATATGTGTGACGTGGCACCATTAGCAGTTTGAATAAAGGAATGAGTAAATGCAATTTGTGTAGGTAGATGCCTGAATTATTGCATCTTATTTGCATGTAAGTGGAGATTAATTAAATTTTATTTTATTGTATCGATCTTAAAGCCTTGAATTGGCAATTGAAGGTGTATTTTAAAATCTCATTAAAAAGAATCAAGTAATTTTACACTAATATGATCTGTTAGAATTTATTTCGTGCAGATATAAATTATTTGTGTCAGATTCAGTTTTTCGTTACTGTTGCGTGAAGTGTTGCAACAGTTCGTGAA